TGCCCCTCTGCTGGCTTTTTCGCTGTGTCTTTGCACATTATTTTAACAGAGATCGATCCAGGCTTTAGAAACACACAGTGTGTGGGTGCTCATTTGGTGCACTGGCTAGTGCCTGCCTCTCACACTGGAATGGCTAGGTTTGTTTGAGCCCCAGCAGGTTCCCATTTCCGGTTTCCTGCTGAAGTGCGTCAGAGAAGGCAGCAGGCGATAGCCTGAGTAATTGAGTCCCTACCACCTGAACTAGAGACCTGGACTGAGGTCCCACGCCTCAGGCATTGGGGAATGAGAAAGGAGATGGGAGAGCTCGCTGTCAGTCTCTGTGTTCTTGAGCTTCTTGAATAAAATGAGCAAACAAAAAATGAAGAATAAACTAAGTCCTCTATAGTATTTTAGGACTATACTGTAATACACCACTTTATAGAAAACACGTTTATCCATAGGATTCTTTTTGCTATAGTTGTCTTATATACTACATCTAAATTTGCTATAAACTGCACAAAACAATGTTATCAGTTTTTCCTTAAGCAGAATTTTATCTTAAAAATTTACTGTAAGATTGCATTTTCATTGATAAACAATAATTGCATATATTATATATTGGTGGAATGCAAAGGGATGTTTAATATGTTTACAATGTGGGATGATTAGTGCAGGGTAATTAACAAACTGATTATTTCATATCCTTATATTTTTGTGGTCAGTACACTTAAAATGAATTCTGCAAATGGATAATGAGTTATTATTGACTATGGTCACTGTTTGGTGCAGATGAGTAAAACTTGTTTCTACTATCTCACTGAAGCTCCCCTGCCGTTAGTCAAAATGTCCTTTTTCCCCATCTCCCCCATCTCTGGCAACCATGGCTCTATTCTCTAATGCTATGGATTCAATTCTGTCAGATGTCACATTAAGTGAGGCCATTCATACAATATTTTCCTTTCTGTTCTTGGCTTATTTCAGTTAGCACAATTTCTTCCATGTTCATGCATGTTGTTGCAAGTGAGAAGATTCCTTCTCTCCCCCTTTTGAAAGCTAAAAAAAGGTTTTTTTTTTTTTTCCAAAGATTTATTTATTGGAAAGGCAGATTCAGAGAGAGAGGGACAGACACAGAGAAAGGTCTTCCATCTTCTGGTTCACTCCCCAAGTGGACACAATGACTGGAACTGAGCCAATCTGAAGCCAGGAACCAGGAGCCTCTTCTTGGTCTCCCATACAGGCACACGATCCTAAGGCTTTGGGCTATCCTCTACTGCTTTCCAGGCCACAAGCAGGGAGCTGGATGGGAAGTGGAATAGCCAGGACACAAAGTGGCACTGGTACGGAATCCCAGCATACGCAAGAAGATTCAGCCACTAGCTATTGTGCTGGGCCTAGGCTCAATAACATTTATGAAAGATGGGTGGATAGTATCACATTTTCTTTATTTTACTGATGATGGACTTTTTTAAAAAGAAAAGATTTATTTCTTTTTATTGGAAAGGCATATTTACAGAGAGAAATAGAAGACAGAAAAATCTTCCGTCCACTGGTTCATTCCCCAAGTGTTTGGAGCTGAGCTGATCTGAGGCCAGGAATTTTTCCTGGTCTCCCATGTGGATGCAGGGTCCCAAGGCTTAGGGCCAGATGATGGAGTTCTATACCTTAGCTATTGAGAACAATGCTATCACTGACATGTGAGAAGAGAGATTTTTTCAGTCTACTGATTCCAAGTTCTTGGCAGGCATACTTGGAAGTGGGGTTGTTAAGTCATATGGTACTTTTTTAGTTTTCTGAAGTGTCAACATACTGTTTTTCATAATGAGTGTATGCACTTACTTTCCTAGGTGGGAAAAATGCTATACGGAGCACATCCATGGAGTTCCTACAGGGTTCTCTCTTTGTTTCTCTCTCTCGCTCTGGGAGAGATCAACAACTGTCTCAACGACACCCGAGCAGCACTGGGGACAGCTCCCATGAAGAGGAGCTGGGGCTTGCCATGCAGTACCCACATTCTTTGCCACTGCCACGCCTAATCCATCCAGCTCCAGTCCGGGCCCATCCTCAATGACTCCAGTCTGGGCTGCCATTTGGCTACAATGTCAGCAAATCCATCATCTCAGTTCTTTTCAGTTCTTTCCCACAGACACTGTGATAAAAAAAATGAATGTTGATTGTTTCTAAGCCACCGAATTTTAGAATATTTTGGTACGCAGCAATGGATAACTAGTCGATTTCTTAATTCCATGCTTGTACCTGTTATTTTCACCTTATTTCTGCAATTTTTCAGCTTCTTTGTATAAAAGGAAAAAGTTATCACCAAATTCATAGTGCATCACAGCAGAAAAATAGATCTTTGAAGGAAAATGATGACTTTGGTTAAAGCAGTTTACTTTGAAATATCTCTTTGTTGGATTCAGCACTGTAGCCCAAGCACCTTGTGATATTACGTGGTCCGTAAGAAGACATTAAATAAATATTGTGTGGATGGATGATTTTGCTTTCCTAGGCTCTCAGCTTCTGAAAGGTGAAAATTCTTCTGTCTTACTTATCTTTGTATTCCCCTTACAGGGCACAATGCTTAATCCCAAACTTGCACTGTTGACTGTTGAATGACATGAAGTTTAACTGAAATTCTTGTTGATGCAAATAAAAATGAATGTGAAGAATCATAGCAGGAAACTCACCTGAAGCATTTATCCTGTATATTGAAAAGTGCTCACTCAAGCTCCATTAACCTATTGCCGAGACAAGCAAAATCCCCAAATCCCAAATTGATGTTTTGTTAGCTCATTGTAGACTATACCAATTTGCTTGCTTTTTCCTTTTTCTTTTCTTTTCTTTTCTTTTCTTTTCTTTTCTTTTCTTTTCTTTTCTTTTCTTTTCTTTTCTTTTCTTTTTCTTTCTCTCTTTCTCTTTCTTTCTTTCTTTCTTTCTTTCTTTCTTTCTTTCTTTCTTTCTTTCTTTCTTTCTTTCAAATTTGTTTACTTTTATTGCAAATGAGGATTTGCAGAGAGAAGGAAAGACAAAGATCTTCCTTCTGTTGGTTTACTCCCCAAGTGGCTGCAACAGCTGGAGCTAGCTGATCAGAAGCCAGGAGTCAGGGTCCAGGAACTTCTTCTGGGCCTCCCACATGGATGCAGGGCTCCAATGCCATGGGCCGTCCCCTACAACCTTCCCAGGCCACATGCAGGGAGCTGGAAGGGAAATGAAGCAGCTGGCGCCCAGATGGGATCCCAGCAGATGCAAGGAGAGGACTTTAGCTGGTAGGCAATCAAGCTGGGCCCGATTTTCTTATTTTCTACCAATAGAATACATGTTCAAATATTCCCAGGGAATCTTTATGAGACAACATGCAATGATAAGTGTGTTACAGGACTTAGGTTTTAACTGTTGTAAGGTGTTGCACTTGGCAGTTTATGGGCAGGAGTTTGTAAGCCTGTATCCCTCCTTATCCAACTGAGCCTCAGGTTAATTCAGCAGAGTTCGGTTTTATGGACACAGTGAGTCCGGACACTCCTTCGTTCTCAAGGCATGTGAGCTGAACAGCTCACATCCTTTCTGAGAGTGCACCAGTGCATCCCATGGAGGACAAGCTAGGTTTCCTAGGTGCAAACACCTGCTGGACCACGTTCCAGCTTTGTGACTTTTACTTTAGTTTGTTCATGCATAGAGAAACTACTGATTTCACAGGGTTGTTAGGAAGATTAAATGGGTGAATACATGAAAAGCACCGGCACATGGTAAACACTAACAAATATTAGCTCACATCACCTTCAATTCTACCACACACCCTGGCACATGTAGGTCACCTGCAAATCCTTATTGAATGAATAGCTGAGGGTAATGTGTCAACAGCTCTACCAGTTTGTAATTGCACTCTGTGATCACATTCACATTTTGATCAATCTTAACTTTTCAGAAATTCACCACACTATTTTAAAAAGTCAGGGGAATATTCTCCTTGATAAACAATATACAAATAATACTTGTAGATTTTACCCTGAATTGAAAGATTATGAAACAGCCCACTCTGGGGTATAGCCAATTATTTTTTTAAAGATTTATTTATTCTTATTGAAAGGCAGATATACAGAGAGGAGGAGAGACAAAGAGGAAGATCCTCCATCTGATGGTTCACTCCCCAAGCAGCTGCTACAGCTGGAGCTGAACCAACCCGAAGCCAGGAGCTAAGAGCCTCTTCTGGGTCTCTCACGTGGGTGCAGGGTCCCAAGGTTTTGGGCCGTCATCGACTGCCTTCAGGGACTCCCGCCAAGCAGGGAGCTGGATGGAAAGTGGGACCATTGGGATTAGAACCGGCACCCATATGGGATGCTGGTGTGTACAGGCGAGGACTTTAGCTGCTAGGCTATCGCGCTGGGCCCTATAGTTAATTTTTGTTTTTCATTTTAACCCCCTGACAAACGAGGATACAGCACCAAAAACTCAGGTGCACGAAGGAACCTCGAGGTTAAGAATCCCGGGCAGGTGTTGCTTGACTTGGAGATTTGCTTTCCTTCTTAACTCACAGATGAACCAAGCTCCTTCCCCTTTGCTCTGGGCACTATCTGGAGAAAGGGAGGGCCTCTGATGAGCCTTACACCCAACAGCTGGCACACAGGACCAGTAGATGCTTGCAAGTCATAAAAAATTGATTTAAAAACAGTCGAAGCCCCTGGGATGATTTGTGCCAAAGTATTCTACCTTTAGTCCCAAGTCTCCCACCTGTAGTTCAGTTTCCACCTGCACAGTTGCTCTGCCTCCACGCCTTCTCCTCCACACTGTTGGGGCCGAAGAAATGACCAGTTTGAAACGAACTCAGAGTTGCAATTCAAGAGTTGCAAGGACAGCTTCCGTCTTCCGTTGCTTGAAGAGAGATGGGAAGGTCAGGGACTCCAGGCAGCCCTGGAATCTCGGCGGGGAGGAGGAGGGCAGGGGGCGGAGACAGAGAGGCCTTCCCCTTGACAGGGTCCAGCAGGTTCCGTTAATCACCCCCCGCCCCGCCCTGACCCGCCCTCATCCTCAGTCACAAACAGTTCGCAGGCGAAAGCTCTGCAGACGGGACCCCGCAGGAGTTTCCACCATGCGCCCGGAGGACGACAGCGGCTGCAAAGAGGACATTTCGCGAGTATGCCCGGAAGAACCAGGCAGAGCTGGGCTTTGGTACCCAGCCCCTGGTCCCGTGCGCGGCTTCCCGAGGGGCAGCAGGAGCCGGGACCTGCAGGAGCAGAACCGCTCCGCCAGCCTGCGCCTGGAGGACCTCCGACGGCGGCTGCTGCGCGCCTTCCAGCGCGCGGTGCCACGCGAGAGCCTCCGGCGCGCCCGGGAGGAGGCGGAGGCGGCGGCGCGCGAGGAGCAGAGCCGGGAGCGCGTGGAGGGCGCCCTGGCCGGGCTGCGAGCCGAGCTGGTGAGCGCGGGGGCCGGTCCCGTCGAGCCGGCGCTCGGGCGGGCCTGTTCCACGGGGAGGAAGAGCTGGTCAGTGGCCACTGATCTTCCCAGAGGTGCTGGTGTCGCCTTGGCCTCCCCAGCCGCAGCCGAGGGTGCCTGATCCGCCGCTGTTGGCCCCCGGATCCCCTCGTCCAACCGTCTTTTAAAAATATGTTTCTGATGAGTTGACAGTACCCTGTGAGAACTCTTAGTATTGGGAGCTTGGACGAGGCAATTCAGTGGATTAAAAAATTTTTTTTATGAGCCTTCTGGGGCGAGTCTGCTAGCAACGCTTTCTTTTTATCCTGTAAATGGAGCTCTTACTTTTCCCTTTGGTAGAACTCATGGAAATAATCAGGTTTTCGTAGATTTTGAGCAGTAGGCGGGTTGGTTCTGAATGCTAAACAGTAGGACGTGTAGGTAAATATATTGGGTTTTTTTTTTTCTGTTAATTTTTTTCCAGCGTGAATAGAATGATTTAAAACTTGAAAATAGTGGTGCCTGTGACTGTGTGTGATGAAAGCTTGACTTGGGCACTTCTCTTTGGTTCTGAGTCCTGATAAAATTATCCACCCACTTTAGAATTAATTGAACCACCAACAAATAGTGTGGTTTAAGAACCTTGAGCCCAAAGCGGTAGCCTAGCGGCTAAAGTCCTCGCCTTGCATGTGCCGGGATCCCCAATGGGCTCTAGTTCTAATCCCAGTGGCCCCACTTCCCATCCATCTCCCTGCTTGGCGGCCTGGGAAAGCAGTCAAGGACAGCCCAAAGCCTTGGGATCCTGCACATCCTCCACCCTCCCCTCCCGTGGGAGACCCGGAAGAGGCTCCAAACTTTTGGCTTTGGATTGGCTCAGCTCCAGCCATGGTGTCCACTGGGGGAGTGAATCAGTGGACGGACGATCTTCCTCTCTGATTCTCCTCTTTGTATATCTGACTTTTCAATAGCAATAAATAAATCTTAAAAAATAATTGGGCAGTATGTTGGAAACCCGGAGGGTGAAGGGAGAGCTTGTTTTAAAAAAAAGTACTTCAACGGATTATCTAGTTTAATTTTTACTTGTTTGTTTGGAAAAGGATGGTGTGTGTGTCTAGGGGGTGGGGGAGGGAGACAGAGCGAGAAAATAAGAAACAGAGCTCCTTCTGCTGCTGCTTCCCTTCTCAGATGCGCAGAACAGTCAGGGCTGTGTCCGGCCAAACCCGGGAGTGTGGCGTGTCAGCCCTCACCCGCGGCTGCAGTGTGGGTGGCTGGGCATAAATGCTTGCGTCTTCCAGAGTGCGTTAGTGGGAAGCTGGTTAGGAAGTGAGCTGGGGCAAGAATCCAGGCGTGTATGGTATGTGCTGCTTGTTCCCAAGAAGCGTGTTAACTGCTGTGCAAATGCGTGCCCACATTATGGCATTTTTTCCCCTTTCTTTCTTTTTAAGTTGTTCAAAAGGCAGAATTAAAGAGAGAGAGAAGGAAAGGGAGAGAAAGCTGCCACCTGCTGGCTCCCTTCCAGATGACAATTCAAACCAGGCCACAACCAGGAGCCAGGAGCTTCATCTTGGTCTCCCACGTGAGTGGCAGAGCCCACACACTTGGACCATCTTCTGCTGCTTTTCCATGCCATGAGCAGGAAGCTGGATTGGAAATGAAGCAGCCATGATATGAATTGGCACCTATATAGGATGCCAGTGTTGCAGATGGGGGCTTTATGTGCTATGCCACAACTCTGGTCCCTATAAGTGTTGCTAATATTTGTGCTGTTGGGATATACTCCCGATTTTTCCCCAATAGATTCTAGCTTCCTTTCTAATAATCTTGTTTCTGAATTTAAGACAGGCAATACGATTGAATGTCTAATCTTAGCCATGATAAATTGGGTCAGTCTTACTGAAGAAGCACCAGGTTGGTATTCTGAGTCTATGGGGTGAGTTCAGAGTGCTGGGTAGCAGAGACCCCTTGCTAGATTTCTGGGGTCCTCTAAGGGACGGGATGCTGAACCATGGCCTAGTCATTTCTGTGCTGCTGACTTGGAAGTTGTTACTGCTGATATCTGTGTCAAAGTTGACAGCTAAGTAAGTGAAGAGAGAACACTCAATATCTCTGAGACATCTTTCAAGCTTAATATTCTGATCAGCTGCTCCACTAGCAGCTTTAGACTCCTGGTAAGCTATTAGTGTTCTGGAGAAGGGAGGAAATAAAATTCTTTTAAAAAATTTATTTATTTTTATTACAAAGTCAGATATACAGAGAGGAGAGAGAAAGATGAAGAACTTCCGTCCAATGTTCACTCCCCAAGTGAGCGCAACGGCCAGTGCTGCGCCAATCCGGAGCCAGGAGCCAGGAACTTCCTCCAGGTCTCCCATGTGGGTGCAGGATCCCAAAGCATTGGGCTGTCCTCGACTGCATTCCCAGGCCACAAGCAGGGAACTGGATGGGAAATGGAGCAGCCTGGATTAGAACTGGCACCCATACGGGATCCCGATGCGTTCAAGGCGAGGACTTTAGCCACTAGGCCATGCCGCTGGATCCAGGAAATAAAATTCTAAAGAGATGAAGGTTCAAATCCCAGCATTATTATCCACAAGTTTTGTTAATGCCCATTGGCCCTACAACGCTGGAAATCTTAAATTGCTAGTTTGAATTTTTATTTAGTGGTCTGTAAAATGGAGACCATGTTCTCATAGGACTTCTGTAAGGACAGTATGAGATAACATTATACAAGTGCCTGCATTACAGGCTCTATGTAGTAGCTTTCAGACCACTGTTAACATTGTTATGGACCACAGAGATTGCACAAACAAAATGACTGTCACATACATTTCAAAATTCAGGAATTTTCTGGGAAAGGGCCAAATAATTTCATACTTATAGAGGTGTTATGTTCTTGGTCTACAGACTATGGTTTCATAAGGCGTACAACTCATCATCAAAAAGAGGCAAGAGAAAGAAGATGCTTTAGCCTGACATTGCCACTAGAAGGAGGAGTTTTGATTATGGACTGTTAAATTTCTACAGGAATTAGCATACACCTGTGTACACTTGAACATGCATTACGTATTGGCATGGTGTTTGTATAATGAATAATGATGTTTCTGTTGTTTTTCTTGGCAGTGGAGGGTCTTCTAGTGTTTAAGTGGATTTCAGGGGTTTTGTGTGCCTAAAATTGCATACACGTGTGTGTGTGTGTGTGTGTGTGTACCAAGTACATTTTTTTTTTTTTTTTGCAGCTGACTCATAGCTTTCATCAAATTCTCAAAAGGATTTATGACGCCAGAAAAGTTAAGGAGCTGTCCATTGGGATTAGGTTTCGTAAATGAGTATGAATTACACATTTTAATCATGGTGAATCATGATCAAAATTTTTACTCCCTGAGATTTGGCATGAAAAGACAAGATGGATATTCATTCATTCATCAATTTATCAGTTTCTTTTGTTGTTTTATTATTTTTACTAAACACAGGGCCAACCCGATAAGTTACGCACACAGATGGTGCACTTGCGCTTGAGGAGATGGTTGTGAATAAGGAGACTGTTCTGCCCTCAACATCAGTCCAATGTAGTTTAGGGACTATGAGGGCCGACTGCCCAGTGTGCTGGCGGAGAGCGGATGTTGGAGGAGTTGGCACGTGGCTGGGTTCAGCTCGAAGAGAGGTGGTAAATGCACCTTGAACAGGGGCTAAGAAGAAGGCGTGGCTCAGTACAGCGTGTACTCAGTCGGGCAGGGCTTCTGACCAGCTGTATGGGAGCTGGTACGTGGGAGACTGCCAGGAAATGAAGGTGGGCAAGAAGGGCAGATTGAGGACACCTGGGCTCTGTTAGGAGCTGCAGCCTCCTGTAGGCAAGGCACAGTGTTTTTTGATGGTGGTGGCTGCTTCGCTATCATTAGCATTTCCTGCAAGTTCTTTTACTTTATTTCCTGCTGATTCTTACTGTCAGAGAAGCGGTTCCAGATGCTGAAGAAGGAAGAAAAATGTCTAGGAGGAAAATTGAAAAAATAATTTTATCTAGTAGCTTTATTTTATGAATTGAGTAGGGATCACCTGTGTTTGTTGCTACAAGCATGGCGCCCTGGTTCCTTTTAAGGTGATTATTTTTGACAGGTTGGTGGAGGGTTGGACAGAGAGTAAACTCTTAATGAATTGCATTAAATAAGACCCTGATTGAAGAAATTTCCAAGCAAGGAGATCATTAGTTTTTAGCCATAATATAAAAAAATACATTGGACTAAGCTTTGTTACCTCCTATGTAACTTGGCCTAGAATTTTTTTTTTAATTTTAACACATGAGAGCCTTCATAAACTGCAATTGGAGGAGCTATAAATCAATCCCACTATGTAACAGATTTCACTAGAATGAAAAGTGTTAGATTATAGAAGCACAAATAACTATACATGTGCATCTAGGGTGTCATTGAAGGTTTTGGCTTGGCACGGAGACCATTTAAAATTCTGAAAATTTGAGGTGACATGTAATCAAGTAAATGGGCCTAGATCCTGAATACTCAGGTGGCCCTAGGCGGTTATTGTGTGGCTCAGAAAACTCATAAAGATAAACGATTTCACCGCGGATCACTTGCTGTTGCTTGAGAACAGCTTTTCATGCAGAGGTGTTTGTCAAATGGACAGCTTTGTGCATCTACTATTTCTGTTTTCATTTCAAGGCCATTTCAGAAGCTATTTATATAATCTGGGTTTTACATTGTCATTTAGAAAGTCAGTTTTACAGCCAGGCCAACAGTAGTAATAAGAAAATAAGAAGAGAAATACATCCTTCTTGATATCTTACTTTCCCACAAACTCCTTATTTCTCCTGTGCAGTCAGAGAGGAGTTTCATTTGATGTATATCTCAAACTAATCACATTCCTTATGCCTGTTTAACTTTGTAGCTGGAGATGCGTTTCCAAAACCGTCAGCTGGCCAGAACTTTACTGGATTTGAACATGAAAATGCAACAGTTGAAAAAGGAATATGAATTGGAAGTTGGAGGGAAGTCTCGAAGGCTGGAAGATAATGCTGTGGATCCTGAAAATGGCAATGCACGTTTAGATGTCTGAACCTCAGGCTCATGCAGACCACGCTGAACTGTTCTGGCTCTAACTTTATGCATATACTTTGTATGAGATTCGAGGAATCATTTTTAAACCAAATGCTAAAATGCCAGGGAAAAGTGATAGGGAAGAATGGTGGGACAAAATGATGTCAACAAATTTTATGGCTATTTATTCATTATTTTGGCCGGAGCATAACAATTTAAAAACCAAACGTGGATGAGTGCCTTAATGTTAACTTCTAGCATTCCATGTTGTGTTACCACACTTTTCTAGCAATGCCTGAATTTTTCAGAATCTGTACCTGTTTTCATTTGGCTTGATGATTTCATCTTGGCCCGACAGCCTGTTTTCCTTCCTTGACTTCATAGAAATGACTTCTACCTGCTCTTCAGGGGGCTCTGCCATTTAGGATACCTCTGTCTTCCTAGATACGGTCCTATGACCCCTGCAGGCAGATCCGTGTCCTTGGGACCATCTGTACTGGTGCACTGGGACTAGATAAGTAATCCCTGAGCATAGAGACTGTGGAGCGAGGGGCCTGGAAACTGCTGGCGGCTCCAGGTGAGAAACCCAAGCCCTAGTAAAAGGTGTTGAAACCGAACTGCTGAGGGTAGGACAGCGAGGTGCTGGCATTCCTTGATCCTGGGGTCAAGCATTGACAACCCCACGCCTGACTGTTGTTTAGATGCACAAAATATTCTTGTACTTTTCTCCTAAAAACTTACCTTTGCTAACTTAATTCAAGTTGGAGTTTCATGACTTATCACCAAAAGTTTCCTAACCATTTCTTTGTTGACTGAAGTTAAATTGATTCTTGCTGTTGAATTAACAAAAGCCTGAAAATGTTGTCTTTTAATGAAGAAAATAAAACGGATAAGATAATACAGCTCCAACTGATCTATGTAGTGGTTATTTTCTGTAAAAATAAATGTCTACAAATTCAGGACATTTTAATATTTAATTATCAACACTCAGTTTTTGAAGACAAAGGGACATGGTCTTTCTTTAATTAAAATCTTCTAAAATATTTTACTTTTAAATATTATTTGCTTAGTTGAGAGGGATATATGCCCATGTGGGCTTCAGATTAGGCTGGGAGGGTCTGGATATAGAGGAAGATAGGTGGGGCAAATGTTTCAATTTGTTTTTTTGCCTGTGTCCACAGCTGGGGAGGAAAAATGGGGGCAGTCCTTGCTGTCAAACTACATCAGCACCTGGGGATGGAAGCTGGCTATTTTTAAAAAAAGTTTTATTTTATTTTTTTTTTGGGGGAAACTCAGATATACATGGAGGAGGAGAGACAAAAAGGGACATCTCCTGTCTGTTGATTCACTCCCCAAGTGGTCGCAGTGGCTGGAGCTGCACCGATCTGGAGCCAGGAGCCTCCTCCAGGTCTCTCACGCAGGTGCAGGGTCCCAAAGCTTCGGGCCATCCTTGACTGCTTTCCCAGGTCACAAGCAGGGAGCTGGAAGGGAAGTGGGGCTGCCAGGGTTAGAACTGGCATGTACAAGGTGAGGACTTTAACCAGTAGGCCACCACCCTAGGCCTGGGAGATGGCTGTTTGATGGTTCCTGAAAGATCCTGCTATGGGAAGTGTGTTTCAAGGGTATTACTTGAGTGGATTTGATTGTCTGAGACATTGTCAATTTCATCGTTTTAGAGCTGAGAAGATGTTTTCAAGGTTTATTGATTGACGATGTCCACCTCTGTGCATCTACAGACCTAGATACTTGGTACAGAGTTTGGCCGTGAGAGCCATGCATCCTGCTCTGCTTTCATTCTCTGACAAGGCACTTAATATCCACTGCTGGGATAGATGAGCTGGCTGCCATGTCCTTTGTGGGCATCAATATATGCTTTTCTACTGCATGGGCATCAGCAACTGAGGAGGCCCAGACCTGATATATGCTCTCCAAAGCCAAACCACATTTCTTGTGGATTTCCCTGTGGCCAGAGTTTTAGTCCAGTGATCTATTTAGGGAGTCCCACAAGACCTTACCTGGGATGACTTCAGACTTGATTCTGTGTGTGCCGGCCAGTGCAGGTTCAGGTTAGGTTGGTTACCTGCATCAGCCAATGCACATATCCATAGATGCAGCTGCCTGGTCAGATCTGCCTCCAGCCACATGTGTGACCTAGCCCAGTACCACCTGCCCACAGGCCCAGTCTTACGCAAAACAGCCTAGTTGGGGTGACTCCCAATAACCCCACCAGGCCTACCCAAACCCCAGTTTTTGCATGTGCTGGCATGTCCTGGAGTTTAGCCCTGTCTTGTGTACCACCCAGCTCTCTTATACAACTCTGGGTGTTGTGGATTTGCTCAGTCTGCCTCACCTCCAGACTCAGCTCACATATATGCAAATGGGTGCTATTGTCTTGTCTTGGTCTGCCATCAGCCCTGGTTTTCATATTCATCAGTGGGAGCTGCAGCCTAGTAGGGCAGTGTGCCCAGGGTTCCCCTACCAGGACCACTCCCAGTCCAGATTTCGTATCTGGCAAAGGATACTGCAGTTCAACCTGACATGACTTGCATCCAGTCCTTGCTCATATCAGTAAATGCTGCAGTAAAGCTGGCTGAGCTGCATCTACTCTGACTCTTGTGTAAGCCAGCTAGTGCAGGGGCCCAGCCCAGTTCAGGTTGGACCCTTCCCATATCCAGCCCATATGCCAACTGAAGGTGTTTCAACCCTGCCTAACCTGGTCAGTCACCAGTCCAAGCTCTCTTGTTCACCAGTAATCAGTTGAAGCAGTAACCAATTGAAGCAGCATCCTAGCAGGGGAGTACCTGAAGCTCTCCTATGAGGCCCGTTCCTGGTCCTGGGTCTTGTGTATGCTTAGTCTGGCACTGCCCTCCCCGTCTTGGAATTCTTCAGTAGGTGTTGAAACCTAACTCTTCCTGACCTGCCCACTGCACCAGCTCACATGGATGGGTGCTGTAGCCTAGCCCAGCCTGGCCAGCCCCTTGCCCTGGTCCTCATATGAATTGGTGAATGTTACAGACCAACCTGACCCAGCCTGAATCCTGTCCCAGATCTTGCACATGCCAATGGGTTCTGCAGGCTGTCCCAGCTTGACTCACTCCCAGACCCAGTCCACATGTGTGCTGACAGGTACTATAATCAGGCCTGGCCTGGAACTGTGGCTATCACACTGACAAGTGGGAGTTGCTTTCTAGCAGGCAGTTCTCCAAGTTCTCTTATCAGGCCCGCTCCCAGGCAAGACCTCACACATATGCTGGTGCATGCTGAGTGAAGCTTGACATGGCCTGCCCCATCCTGTAACTCACTGCCCAACCACCCTGCACCCATTCTAGCTCTTGCTAGCATGTGCAACTGCCCAGTCCTGCCTGGTCCAACTCTAAGACCTGGCTCCCACGTGGCTCCACAGGTGCCCTGGTTTAAATCAGCTCAGCCTAACCCCAGACCCAGGCCACATACATGCGAACTAGTGTTGTAACCTTGCTTTCCCTGACTCATACCCAGCTCCAGTGCACATATTCATCACTAGCAACTGTAGCCTAGGAGGTAAGTTCCCCAAGTTCCCCATCAGGCCTACTTCCAGCTCCAGATCTCACAAATGTTGGTGGGTACTAGCCCCCTGGACCCGCTAGGCCTCTCAGGTGTATCAGCAGGTGCTGCAGCCTGGGCCAGTCCAGCCTGTTCTCAACCTGACCTCCTGTGAGTGTTGGTGAGCCCTGTGGTTGTGCCTGGCTTGGCCCGTCAGTACTTCTAGCTCTTGCCCAAATCAGCAGGTACTACAATCGCCTGGGGGAGAGCCAAAAAATCCCCAACAGAATCTTCCCCTAGACTTGGTTCTCTTGTGAGCTGATTGGTGCCATACAGCCCTGCTTGTCCTATCTCTTGCTCCAACACTTGCTGGTGGGCACTGTGGCCTAGCCCTGCCAGGCAGGTTCCCCAGCACACTAGCTTTCATGTTTGCGGGTAGCTGATGCCACTTAGCACGGATCAGGTCATATACCTGATGCCACTCAGCACAGTGAAAATGGGCTGTGACTGGGTGTTGGGTGTTGAACACAGCAAGGACGCCACCGCAGGACTCCACACTTCTGCCGGGACCTTGGGGTCAAAGAACATTTCATTTTATTTCTTTTTTTTTTTTGGTTCCTTTCCCTCCCTTTCCCTTGCTGATTCGGATGTGTCACCTTCCTGAATCTTCCTGCTGCCACCATCTTTGACTCACCGGGATGTACAGTTTACAGTTGGAAAGAGCAAACAGGATTTTCTTGGTGGGATATGCAGAACATGGGATGTATGTGTATATATAAATATAATACTGACTTAAAATCAGATTCCCTGACATACTTTTTTCAGAGAAGGTCTTGTTTTCATACTCAGACTCTTTGGTACAGCCGGGCCCGGCTCCGGCCACGTGGAAGCATCACGCAGCACCTGTACGGAAGGACTGGTGGACCCTTCCTCCCATTAGCCTGGACCTCTCCAACTTCCTACACTTATTAATTCATGAAACTTTTTCCCAGCACAGTTTTGTTCTGTGTGTCCATTGGATTATAAGCTTTTAAAAACTACAAAATCAGGTCTCCTGTTTTTATTTTCTCTCTGTTTTTATTTTATTTTCTTTTTTTTTAAGCCTAAAGGTGTATATTTTTTAATTAATTAATTAATTAATTTTTCACATTTTATTATTATTGCTATCATTTTATGATACAGTTCCATATTCCCCTATCCCCTCCCCAATTCCCTCCCCCCCAATTCCTTTATATCATTATTAACATATAGTTCTTCATACTCAGTCATATGTTCATCATTGCGGGCATGGACAATGGCAGAGAGTCCAGAATCCTATTGTCAAAATATAATATAAACAGTTTCACTGTAAGTCCATCTTTGGAAACAGAGATGCATACCACACTGCATCTTCACATCTGGTTGTTAGTCTCCATTACATAACTACTGTTCATTCCCTTAAATGAAAAGTCATGATGCAAAATCAACAATAGAAAGAAAAATAGAAATTTACAATGCCATGAAGTTAAATGACATGTTACTAGATATGACAGTCTCCATTACACAACTACTATACCTTCCGTTAAATGAAGAGCCACAAAACAAAAGAAACTTCCGAGAGAAAAAAGAAATTAACAACACCAAGAAGTTAAACAACATGCTATTAAATGTATAACGTGTAGCTGAAGAAGTGAAAATCAAGAACCTTCTTGAAGAAAATGATGCTACCGTATGATCTACGAGTCATTGAATGATTTAATCAGAAGAAAGTGTTTTGAAGAGATGAAACCAACAGAAAACAACAAAACCCATGTGATATAGTTTCTGCTGATTTTTGTTGGGGTGTGTCTCCTCCAGACAATAAACAGATGGGTTTTGTTTTTTAATCCAGTCTACTAATCTATGATGTTTGATTGAGCTTAAGCAATTTACATTTAGAGTTAAATATACATAGGTGGTACTTTGGTCCTGTCATTTTAGGAATGGGTTGTTCATTGATTCAGTCTTCTGTTGTCATTTTACTGGGATGTTCTTCCCGTTTGCCTTTGGTTTTGGTAGGTGCTATTCCTCTTCTCTGTCAAGAGAACATCTTGAAGTATCATTTGTAGAGCAGGTTTGGAAGAGGCAAATTCTTTTAGCTTTTCTTTACTATGGAAGACTTTTATTTCATTTTCAAAGATGAAAGAAAGCTTTGCAGGGTATGTTATCCTAGGCCGACAATTTTTTTCTTTTAGAATCTGGAATATGTCACTCCATTCTCTTCTTGCCTTTAGAGTTTCCTGTGAGAGATCTCCTGTGAGCTTAATTGGCATTCTTTTATATGTCAATTGATGTTTTTCACGTGCACATTTAAGGATCTTTTCCTTATGTTCAATTGAAGAGAGCTTGATGATCATATGTC